AAAAAACTTTTTCAAACTCAATACGAATAGAAATGTCTCACGAGCTCCAAGAATCTGCAAAAATACAAATAAAACATAATTCTGCTATTATGTAGCGGGGTGCTTTCAATCCCCTTTTAAATGTTGTACAGTTTCTTTCATTCCATGTGGTCCATATGAGTGCTAGAGGACCACCTCCCTTGCTCTACTTCTTGTTTACAGTAAAACTGGTTCTGCTTCTTTTTAATTACATCATGTCAGTGCCTAGTTCTCTACCCCAACAAAGGTAGGGGTAACATCTGCATACACCCCACTCCTCCCTAGACCCCATTTGTGACCTCACATTGGACATGTTGTATTTGTTGTTGTTGCATGTCGGTGCTTAGTTGCCTATGTTCCTATTAATTGTATAATATCCTAAATTCCACGCTACGAGCCTTGGTATGCGCCACACTGGTACTTCAGGTGTGTAACTGAGGCTTTGCCAATTCGCTAGCTGCCAAAATCCTCTCCAACTTTTCACCCCTCCAAAATCAATAACTGAATTCTAGTTCTTAGGTCTATTGAACTCCAATCTCCCCACCCCCCACCCCTGACTCGGTGAAATTACTATTTTATCACATTCTTTTAGAGGATACTCTGATAGGTTTTGTATCCTAAACTCATTCCTTGTTATAGGGCCACCTGAATGAATCATGTACGTGACAGTGCATCTGACTTGTTAGCACAAAAAGAAGCACCCCAATCTTATTCATAAAGCTACAAGGGGACTTATTTTACTTCTATTGACAAAGTTGGTTGGGAACATGCAGAACTTATAATATTTATCTTCTTTCTTGGGGGGTCACTTAGCTACTTCCTGTGGCCGGTCATTTTGGCAGATAAACTGTTACAGATACTGCTAGGAAGTTTGTTCTGTGTGATCAAGCAGCTCATAATTATTATTTTTGTGAACGGTTATGCTACTTTTATTCACCTTGGCTTTTGTGATTGTGGAATGCAGCGGATCAGACTCCAACCAGATGTTGGCAGGAATTGCATTTGTTTGGCCAGTATTGATGGTAGCTTCAAGCGCATTCCAAGCCGCTGCATCTATTATTAAGGTATTCAATAAATCACGATGTGTACCAATAGCAGTCTGGATCCTCAATTAATCATTTCAAGGGCTTTGAATGTGTAGGAGTTTGTTTTTATTGATGCTGCTAGCCGACTCAAGGTGCATCTCTCTTTTACAGAGCTTTTTATGTTCCTTCACTTAGCTTTGAATATGGAGTGCTGAGAGATACTCCATCGATCTCTTCGCAACTCTGTTGGTAATGTTTAATGCACAGTCCTGATAGATATTCAATTTATACAGGGGAAGGTTCTTGATATCTTTGTCGTCAATTCTTTTGGATCTGGATTCCAGGTAATTTGTATGAGCGCGTGAAATTTTAATACACTAACTTTTGGATCCTAAAACTCTGTTCTTCAGGGTTATTTCAGAGTAAAATGCGTACATAGTCCTGAGTTAATTAGCCTTAGGCAAATGCCAATTTACTGATTCTTCTGTTGAAATAGCTGTTTTCACATTTGGCACCATTTGTTCAATTCTGTTAGTCGAGTGGAATTAAATACCAACTGCTGGCTTTTGTATTGTCTTAAATAGTCACACTGAGCACCATTTGTATAGTTCCAGCCGTCAACTGGAAGCTAAAAGAAAAACCTTTTTTCGTGAAATCTAGTTCTCGGTGAAGTTTCATTTGCATCTACGCAGAGGTCATGCCCAACAATTTCTGATAGAGAGAGGAAATATTCAAAAGACTGCATAACCATATGCAAAATCTCTTTTTATTTTGATTGGTCCCGCTATGTTTTTCATGGATTTGCAAGCCACTCAAACCCTTTATGCTCTTCTATTTACAGTTTATGCTGTTGCCAAAGTGTTATTGCAGAATCAATTGTAGTTTGTTACCACAACCTTGCACACTATAGACAATGAATGTTTAGTCTAGCATTGCTATTTATATACATTTATATTACATATATGTGTGTGTTCCCTCCGTTTCAATTTATTCGTCTTAGTTTGACTTGACATGGAACTAGAGAAAGTAAAGAAATTTTTGAATTTTGTGGTGTTAAACTACAAATGTATAATGTACCAAAATACCTTTTAATAATGTGGTCTTAATTAAACATGTCTAGTGGAATGCTCAAATTAAAAAAGTTGTCAAATTAGAAAAGAGACATTCTTTTTGGAACAAATCAAAAAAGGGAAGTACAATTAGGACAGGCAAATTGAAACAGAAGGGAGTATATAAAAAAATGGGGAATTGCATTTTCAGAGAGTGAATTGATCTGTTTACCTTTCAGCGACACTGTATTCTAAATGTTGCATTTGTAATGTCTATTTTTTTTTTGTAGGCTCTGTTTGTTCTTCTTTTTCTGCCTTTTCTTTCAAACTTGAAGGGCATACCATTTTCTGAGCTCCCTTCATTTCTTAAGAGCGGTGCTGGTTGCTTCTTCAACATAGGGAACAATGTTTCAGGTGCAATCTCTATTATGTTGAACTTGTGTGTGGCTTGCATAAAAGGTCAATGTGCATCATTTCAGCATTTGCAAACTGCGTTGGTGTGGGTCATGATTTTCTAGAATCTAGAATATTTTGGCAGGAAAGTGTTGTTTACAAATTACAAAATGTTCCTGCTTTCCTCAGTCAATCACATAGAGGTTTCAAGAATATGTTTGCGCCCATCGGGAAAAAGAGTGGTGATATATTGGATAGTATGAATATATGTACTCGTTAGTTGCTAGGAGGTTGCTCTACTTACATTATTATACTATCCATAGAACTTGGGTACTGGAATAATAAAAACCAAGCATAGAAACTGGTTTTGAAAACTTAATGTTGGTTGCAACTCAATTAGTATGTGTCTCTTGGGATTTGGTCTATAGCTGTACTTTAAAAGTGAATCTCAACAAGAACGAAATCACAATTTTCAGGCAATTTCTCAAATGGGACATATACTGCTGGTATAGTGTTCATTTCACGAGCAAATATTAGTTTCAACAGTTATGATGTAATCCAAACAAAATTTTAGTTGTCTTTTCCATTATAGATGTGAAGACACGATTATCAAGTTAGAAGTATTTTTCCCAAGGTAATGGATTGATGAGTCTGACTGTTCTTTTGGCACCTTTTATTGGTCAGGTTGTGATGGAGCACCGTTGCTACCCCTTCTTTACATATTTACAAATATTGCTTTCAACATATCAGCTCTCAATCTTATGAAGATTTCATCTGCTGTAATTTCTTCCCTTGTTGTGATGTCATCAGGTTCTCTCTCGCTCTCTTGCAGAAACTCTGCATACAGTGCTTAGAGGTGTCGATTACATTTGAATTTTATGTAGTCCCTATGACCAACCAGATTCTTAAATGGTTAAACCTCTTTTCTTATGCAGTGCCTTTGTCAATGTATCTTCTCTCCATGCCGCTGCCATATCTCCCACAAGGTTCAAGTTTGAGCCCTTTCTTCCTTCTCGGCAGTGCTGTCCTTCTCATTGGTCTTATCCTGTATAACATTCCACGGACTCAGAAGCAAGACACAGAATTGTAACTCATTTGAATCATTGCAAGTGATGTTCTATGGAGATTCTGGATATATAGTAATGATCTCGGAGAGGCATGGGGTCCAGAAGAGTCTATAATCTCCATCAACTAAGATCCATTCTTCCCTAGTCATACAGTATGGCCTACCGCTAAATGGATCTGACAGTATCATGGTAACTTGACTTATCCTTCCACTGGCTGTCATCATAGACGAGCAACGCAGACTGTCTTAGCGTAACAAGTGGATTTTACAGTACGGAAGGGCGCTTGCTATGACATGTCTTAGGTGGGTTAAAGAAATTAAATTTTGGTGTATATGTTACTGAGGTTTGCATGCACAAAAACAGTTGGTCGATTCTTTTGGTAGATAGAAGATACAGAAATAAAACTTCTTCAGCGTCATATTTTGATTGTGAAACAAGTTTATGTAATTACAGTTCCATTCTATTCTATTCTTCCAGTGGGTGTTTCACCAGACGAAGCAAGTTATGTAAAGCAAACATCTGCATCCTGCGCGGTAAACATTGAACAGTTCTAATTTTCTACGGGAAGTCCATTTTTCATAATATCATATTTCAAGCACCCAAGATTTATGGGTTCTAAATTTGCCACTTGACTCATAGTTGGTTGTAGTTACTGAATTCGCAATTAAATACTTGTACATTTTCTTGAATTTTTGGTTTAAGCAAAAGCTTTTCAGTTCGGTCGAAACCTTAAATACTATTGTAGCTCCACCCACACTATTCATTGAACAGTTTACTTAGCATTTTAACTCAACTGTGAGCAATATCGGAACTTTTGGCTTTAGACCAAGTTAATGTAGGCTTGAAAAAAAATCCTCACTTCTCTTTTCTTGATTTACAGATGATCCGGCGATATGCATTAGTAATATTGGGATTAGTATGGTTTGCTATACATAAAAATAATGATATTTAATAATGATTAGATACAATCAGTACGGTACTCACTCTTTCATTTTGTCTGTTTTATTATTTTTTAAGTCCGTTAAAAGATATCTATTTCTTTTTACATGTAACGTTTAAAACTAATTAAAAAAAAAATTTGATAAGTATATTTACAGGCCGCAAAATTCAAAAATATTTTCTAATTAAAATGCACAGCTAATACGTGTATTAATTATGCACTGATTAATGATTATGACCAAAGATATAGAACCTTAATAACATTAATCTGGACATATTGATATTTGTTCATGCCTTAGCTTTCGTATTTCTACATCTCTAGGCATAAATTACTGCGGGAAACTGGTTCTTGAATTTAAGCAGTATCTGATTTTCTTTTCTTATATAATGCTTTCAGCAAAACTTTTTTACTTGTAATTGTACGTGCACAGAAAATACTATTATCTTCATATTACCACTGAGAATAATCGCGGGAAGAAAATGATTCAGACTTTGATAATGCACAGAACTAAGATACTGAAAATCTCATTGCAATAAAGCTAAATCTCACTTTTTTAAAAATAGAAATTCATGACATGACATCTATCACTAAACTGAGTTTTCCACTTCATTAACAGCTTACACCACAGTTGAAGCCCAAAATTGGTGCTCACCCTGAAAATATATTGCTCAGACCGTCCAAAAAGAACTGGTTACCCTATCGACAAGAATTGTTTAGAAAGGAGTACAATTTCCTTTTGATTTGTGAAAGATGATAATACAACTACCATAAGAGGCTTCATTTTACATATCAGCTGACCCTTACTTTTCAAGAAATTAGATGTTGAACCAAACCACAGCCGCCATAGCGCACTTCAGCCTTGCAGCAAGCAACTTTCAATTATCCATCTAGGTTTCAGTCATCACTGCTGACAACAATAATGAATACGATGCAAGATTTTAGAGCGATGAAAGCCCCAAAAATTAATATCATGACAAAGTTGTACACATGTTACGTGAGACCAAGGAACACCTAACCGTTCCAACCTTAAAGCCTCTAAATTGGTGGATATCGATGTACTCGAACCTCAGTCATATCAATTCCTCCTCTGCAATACCACATATATTAACAGTTATTTTCAGCAATTTCCCCGCACAAAATAAAACTCATGTCCATGAACAAAGGGATATAGATCAAAAGATAAACCACTACTACAAATAAGCTCCATTCTAATTGTGAACAAGATTGTGTTCATTATACAGGCTATACTCAGAAGCAGCAAAGGGTTGTGAAGCATTGGAAATAACCACATAAATCATAAGCCAACAATTTCCTTCCAATTAAATCATTGAGATGAGTAACAAACAAGATAATAAGTGTCCATACCAGAATATCAACATTTTATGCATTAACTAGATCGCTTATCACCTAAACGGGAATGCACAAGATTTATATATGTCTAGGACAATGACAACATCATAGCTAATGCAAGATTTCATATATAATATTCTAAAGCAGAACCACACTTCAGATTTTGAAAGAAAACAAACCAAGGAGTAATGCAATCTCCCTAAACAAATTACCTTACGCTTCTTCTGTTGTTTGATTTCAGTGCCGCCTTTCTCAAAGTTTTCTGATTGTTCAGAAACAGGTTCCCCTAAAGGCAAACTTTTTATCTCGTCATAGAAACTATCTGTCAGCCCAAGCAACCTAGCACAATCAAAGAAAGGAGATTAGCCTCCAGTTAGTCCATTTTAAAAAGAAAAGAAATCAGAGCTCCACCTAATCTTCCAGTACCTTCCAAACTATAGATTAAGTTCATATCTGAAATGATCAAAAGACTGACTGTAAATTGACTCTTTTTATAGTTAGTAAGATCAACCACACAGTTCCTACTGAACTTACCCATTTCTTGACTTCTTCAGATGTTTCATTTTCTTTTTCTCCAATTTTGTAAGTGGGGCACGATCAAACGCCTCCTCTTCTCTTTTTGCACGTTCTTCCATTTTAGCCATGTAGTTTGTGAGTTCTCTACTTTCAGATCCAACAACTTCTCTTACCTGTATTTTTCACCGTGATCAATAGTCAATACACGATTGCTTAGGGAAGTGAGTTAGTATAAATAGTCAAATAGAGAACTACCTCTTCGGGTCTTCCTTCAAGATCATTCAACAAATCTATCATATACGGGCTTTGTTTAGCATTTCGCAATCTCTCTTTTTCCCTCCTCAATTCATTTCTCTCCTGCTTCGACATTTTCTCCTCGCCCATAGAAGCAGGCGCAAATTTGGGGGGTCGATATACACCATCCTGTAGGTCAAGACAAAAAACATTCAACTATCTCTTTACTTCAAGAAATCATATGGGAGACTGAGTGAGTTAAATCATAACTTCAAACTCTAAAAATTGCTAAAGATCGAGCCAACTCTTTTTGAACAGGAGGAGAAAGGAACTAAAATGGTCATTTCATTGTCATGTACCAAACACCAACCTCTGCAGTGTTACTTGTTTTACTAACAAGCATATCAGGTTTTGGACGATACTTCAATAGGTCCTCCTTCTGAGTATCTGTTCCCTTCTCACTTATAACTGACTTCTCAGAAGCTGTGTCACTATCTCGTGTGAGCTTCTGAATTTGATACTGTAGTTTCTTGTCAATGGGGCGAATCTGCACAGAGCATGACAGTAAGGATACTGCAATTAAGGGCAGAAAAACACCCAAGAGGAGCTGGAGAGACAGCTTTAACATACCTTCTCCAAAAACAATCTCATCTCCACCAGACTCCGAACTACTGGATGCCCTTCAATTGAGAGTCCTTTTGCCTTGCGGAGCAAATAATAGACAAGTGATTGACAATAATTCAGAAGTAGCAGATGCTTCGTTTCAAGGTAACTTATTCCATCTGCTGTTGGAAAGTGATCCGCTTTCACCTGCAGACAAATTGCACGGGAATTTGGAAGAAGAGTCAAGTTTATATAGTGCTATTTTCATTCTTTCCTACACAGCTGCCACGTAAAATATCCAAGGCACAGTCAACTGAATGAATCAAGCAGTTCACTAATTTCTGTGACTGAGTTACAGGAGTGCCCTGCTAAAGGCATTAATTCTATGGATTACTAGCATGGGGGTTGGTGGTTTTTTTTTTGGGTGGGGGTGGGGGTGGGGGGGGAGGAGGGGCACGCATACACATTGATACATATATCCTTTAAAGACAAGCATGTATTTCAATATAGCATAGACTAGGACTTTCTCATACTGGCCATTGGGATGATTAGATATCAAAGAAAGTAACATGAACCCAACATGGATACCAAGTCAGAAGATCATGTATTATTGATCGTAACATCTGTAACGTGGAAAACCAAATTAGTTGTACGATCTAACATATTAGTTCAAAGATAATTGCTTTAATGAGAGAATATTGGATTACAGGCACCCAAAAGACTATTGTTTTAAAAAATGTTTTACAAAATGAAACCATTTACTAAATATTTCATCAATGTATGATTGTACATAAGTAAAATGTAGCCTCATAATTTCTCAAAGAAAGAACTTGAACCTCATAGAGGTGATGGGTAGCGGCATGGCAATGACGACTCGGGGTGAATCTGGGAAGCAAATATAAAAGTTTCTCTCTTTTATTTTGTTAGTAGGAAAAAACGTCAAGATATTGATAGAAGAAAGTGATCGATCAATAAACCAATTATGCCTTTAACCCTAAGCTAGTTATAGTCGGTTATATGAATCCTCTGGATCCATTCCATGCTTCAAGTCCATTTAAATTAAATAACAAATTAGGTATACTAACCAAAAGAATGCTAATTTCACACTTACCCAAATGATACACATGTCTCTATAGCAAGAATATAAAGAATCTAGATGAACACTGAGCCAAATGAAAAAGTATCAGTTGATTTTGAAGATAGTAGTAAGAAGGCATTTCAAATACAACGGAATCATATTTTGAAGATAAAAGCTGATAGATTACGACAGATTATCTTTTGGTGCAATTTAGCTAGTAAATGATGTTGAAACATTGGTAGACTTTATTAGTGTTCCCAGCATTTTTTGGATTACAGCACCAATTTACTGCTGGTTTCATCAATAAAACTTATCTAAAAGAATGTACCAGTATTTATTGGCAATAACTAATTAAACATGACTATTTGGTATCCAATATAGATTTCTTTTTTGCGAGCGGCAGCTAATAATGGTGTCCAGACAACTTTCCGGCACTTCCAGTGCTGCACCAAGTATTTTCCACCAGCAAAGGCATTGGGTAACCAACAATTGATGGGAAAGGTTTCAACACATCCCAAAAACACAGTGTGTATCCTTAAAATTTCTTTCTAACTATATAAATTGTTATTGTTCTAATTAACCGAGTATCAATATTTAAATAATCAACCATGAACAATCATAGAATTAAAAAAATAAAAAACTGACCTTTGCGGTTAAAGCTTGTACTTTTAAGCTCACTGTATCCAATCCTGCTTTCATCTCCTTCAATACCGTAACTAGTTGCGGAGCTTGCCTGCATATTCATTCACATCCAAAAATATCAATATTATTATGTATGTTCCGTGATTTTCAGAACCTTAAAAGACCAAAATAACAAAGAACTTGCCTGCTTATTCTTTGACTCGTTTCGACTGACGCCATATTTTACTACTGATATCGCTGAGAGTGAAGAAGATACTCCGTTGTTGTCAATGGCGGCTTCCTCTCTGTCTGCTTTGGGGCAGAAGCGAGGTTTGATTTATTTATTTTCCAATAAATTAGAAGGATCGAAAAGGGGGGAGCGGGTTATGATTTGGGTTTTATATGGGCTTATATGCAATGGTCCATCTTTGAACCTTTACGCTAAATGACATTGTATTGTATTCTATTGTATAGTAAATATAGTGTTTGGTTAAATTGTATTTGTTTAATAACATTTTAATTATTTGGTTATAATTTATAAATTTACTTAAATATTTTTAATTATTCTAAGATAAAAGGTTTGACTAGGTTTAAATAATTAAGGTAAAAGTTAAATAATATTTTGAAATATTATGTAAAATATAATTTTCAAAAAAAATTAAGTAATAATGAAAACACACCAAATTGATTGTTCCATAAAATAGGGGTTTTCATTGTTATGGAACAACGAAATTTAATAATACAGTACAATACACTATAAGTAACAATCAAAACAAACATTATAAATGTAGTAATAATGCAATACAATACAATGGATAACAATGGTCCTAACATAGTGTTAGAGCAAGGGAGAGCTACCAAGTGGTCAAGAGGGTCTTTTTGATAAAATATTATGTAGTACTTATAAATATGATTAAAATGTTTTTTATATATATAAAGAGATGCATATTGAGTAGATATCAAATTTTTTGACTAATTTATATATTTATTTCATCAAATTTTAAACTCTTTGATAAAAATCATAACTTCATCACTTGAAAAAATACTTAATATTTAACATTTTTTAATTCCAAATTAGTAACATAGTTTGAATTAAACTTATTATTTTAGCACACTATAGGCAATAGGATATGGTAAATTTACTATATATACTCTAGCAATAAATAAATATATAATAATATTATTTTAATTTTTCATCAGTCAAATTAAGTTCGATGTTAATACTCTTATATGTCTATTACTTATGAATTTTGTATCATGCCCATTTAGATTTAAAGGCGAAAATCTTAATACTATCCATGTTTGAATAAATAACTTCGTCATCGATGTTTAAATATATACGATATAAAATTATTCGTCAATTGAATATTTCTTGGATATAACTTCATTTCTTTGCTATTGTATCATTTGTTTGACCTTGTGAACATGATATGCAATATCAAGTAAGTTAATTTTGATTTAACAAACATAATTTCAGTTGAAAGTAGCAAATTTTAATATCAATTTCTCAAAAGTTAGACGAGTTGCTCGTTCTAATGTCTTTATCTCGTTATCCAAATAATCGCTAGCAACTTCCAATTATGTCTCAAAACTCAGAAGTAATAAATTCAAACATGACAAACTTTGGTCAAGAATTCTTGATTCTGTAATAATGCAATATATGGAAGTTATTTAACAAATTTGATATTATTTCAACTTTTATAGTCTATAAATATATTTATAAATTGAGATATAGAATTATTTTGGGCCATAGTAATTTTATTTTGTGAGCGATGACCAAGTAAAATGGATACATAAGAAAACATTTTATTACATTTAGGATTTTAATATTTTTTTTCATTAAAAAAATAATAATGTGGTCAAATTATAAATAGCCACGTGTAAAAAATAATTTTGCAAAACTTTTAATCAATGACATAAAATGAGTCTTTCTGCAAGTTCGATGTCATATTTGAATTTTTTTCCAAAAAGAAAAGAAAAGAAAAAAGGGGGCCACAAGCAAGCAAAAAAAATAATGTTGGCAATGAAATTCAAACCTGCATTGTGTGTTCGGCCCCCACTATCCTTGAGGATAAAATAAGATCTATTGCTTTGCCCACAAGCCCTACTAGCGTAGCAAGTCTGGTCGCTGGTGTGTTGTTCGTTCTAGCGATAGGCTCCAAGCGCGATTCTGATTCTCAATTTGGATAGCAAGCTCCTACCTTTTATCAATTGAACTATCAACATTTCAACTATTGAGTGGCGACGTTAATATATATATATATATATATATATATATATATATATATATATATATATATATATATATATATTGAATATTTTACATATATAAATATATATATATATATATAAAGTTTTTCCGTGATCACTGACACCACAACCCGTCCACATGTATCCGTCCTTGCTAATAGTAATAGCAACATTCATTGTAGTAGTGCATTTTTTTGGACAAATGACAGAAATCACATAATTATAAGGTAAAATTATCATTTGTCCCTTTTAAGTTTGTAATTGTAGAAATCTCTCGATTGATACAATAATTTAAGTGTTGATACATTAATCTAATACACGAGACACATTAATTTGATGCTGATATATTAATCTGATGCGTGAAAATAATGGATTTTGAAAAATTATAAAATTAATAGGGGATCATGGTAATAAGAGAACTTTAAAGTGAAATTTATGTTATTTTTCCTTTTTTTTTTTTGGCCAAACTCGTTTCATAACAATTATATATACTCAAAAGGTTGTGTAAGAATTTTATCATATATATAAAAAATAAAGAAAATATTCATAATAATAATCAATAATATCACAAACATATAATTTCAAATACAAGTATTTAATAATGGTAATTTATTATGGTGAAGAAAAGACTATTGATATTTAATTTTTTTATATTCACATTTTTTTCTATTTTTAAAAAAATTTAAATTTGACTAACAAATTACTCTTTCTTCTTCTCCATATACACAGAATAATCAAATTGACTTCTACATACTTTATAACAACCATTAAATTTCAAACAAACACCCCTACTTTAACAAGCTTCTATTGTAATTAAAACTACTACTACACAAAAAAAAAATGTAATTATAAATTAAGAAGCTCGAATCCCAAAAAGGACTAATTAGTCAATTAACACAAAACAAAGACATTTCATGCACGTCCATCAAAGAAACCAATAAACAAAAACAACAAATAAATAAATTAAAAAAAATAAAATAAATCACAATAGTTCCCCGTACATCCCACCGCACCCGATCCAACTCAATAGTCTTCTCCGTTTCTCCAAGTAAAATAAAAATAAAAAATATAAAAAATTAAAGATAAAATTTATTCGCACTAAATATTTATTTCAAATCAATATATGTATATTATGTATTTAAATTTATATTTTATTTTATTAAATTACGTAATAATAAATTTTGCGTTGGGCTTGTTATAAAAATTCAGTGCATATAAGTTGTCGAGGAAAAAAGAGTGATACACCACTTTCTCCCCTATTTCCTCTCTAAAACTAAAATAAACTCGCAAAATATCTTTATTCTCCGGATCCATCTTTTTTTTTTTCTTTATTCTTCTTTTCCTTAAATTATAAATATATATTTATTTTTTATTAATCACTTCGTTTCCACTTTCTCCACTATTTTTCACCTTCTTCCCCCTTTCTTCTCGAATCTTCTCTCTCAAAATTCACCTTTTGATCTTCGTTTCTACACTGTGAACGTGATGTGAAACTTCAATTCCTTGTTTTCTCTTTGAGTAGTTCAGTTGTATCGGGGTGCGGAATCGGAGTTTAAGCAAATGATATAACAGTTGAAGAAGGGGGATAATTTATTAGAGGATCGGACGGGTGGACGGACGCCGGCCATGGATGTTTCACCGGCGAAGTTTCTGTTTGGATTCCTATTTGCTTCTATAATACTATGGAGTATTTTCGTGTAAGTCAATCTGAGTCAAAGTTGTATTGATTATCAATTGACTGGTGTGTTTATGTGTTGTGATCTAGTTTGAATTGATTGATCTGATATGTGCTATATGTTTTTGTTTGTTGAATTGTGCAATGTAAATGAGTTGATGCAATTTGTTTGAACTACACATTATAGGCTCTGATTGAACTAGCATTTTGTCGTTTTTACTAGATTAGAGCGAGCAATTTCCTCTCTTTCTTTTGCGGCAGGAGGGATTGAGGTTTAACGAAGTTGAATAACATCAATGTTGCTTTCTATGTAATGATGTCCAAATTATGTCACATGTGATAGCATCTTTGTTTCTCTTGCTAAGATTTTTTTTTCTTTGTGTTTTCCCTGTAAGATTTCTTCTATACTGAACTTACTGATGCTTTGTGCTATGTCGCAAAAGTATGGTTTTGCATAGCTTCAAGAATAAGTGGATAAGCACGGCTGGGGATAGCCCTCACCAAATGTGTTCTGAATTGGACTCGCATAAAATTATGGTTTAAGGTCAAGTAGAACAAGGTGCATTGGCTTCAGTAACATTTGAAAGAATATGAGCATCCCACTCAAAAACTTAAGTCCATGAGTGGGTTAGCCCAAGCCATTAAAACCCCTTTGGAGAGACCCTTACTAAACTCATGAGGGATAAGTGAAGTATTCTCTTACTATTCCATTTATGTCTTTCATTTCTTGGCATCGAGATTAGTTTACTTGGTAAGTGGGTCTCTTTTTACCAATCATTGATGGTTTGTCCTTCGTATTTAGGATAGGTTTGAAACTAAGATATGCCAATTTGATTGTAGAATTTAAGAACTATATTACGTGGATACTCAACATAACATGTAGAGACTGATTGAGAAATGTGCGGGTGATCTTAAAGAGATGCCTATTCTTCCTATCCCTTCTATTGTGCCATAGGTACGGAATGTGATGAATAATTTAACGAGAAGCCATAAAATGCTGGACTTGAGAGGATATTCTAGTGCAATATCACTTAGAATAATGTGAATATATGTATTCCTAATTGGTTTTGAAGTCTGGAATACATGGAACAATTCAAAACAATGTTTGATCAAGTATAATTTGGATAGTCATTAATGAAGTTGGAAAAAAAACTTTTTTTGATCAAGTAATAAGATTTTATAAACAAAGGGCATGAAACATACACATAAAAGAAGTATACTAAAACGTAGAAATTCTTATAAAAAACGTACGCCCTGCCCTTCGTCCCATTTATATGTGTTAAGTTTGACATGACACATTGTTTAAGAAAGATTTTTGAAACTGTGGTCTAAAATAAGTGATAGACATTTGTGTGGTTATGAATCATTTTATTAAGGATAAAATATGCATTTCAAAGTTAAATTAATACTTACTATAGAAATGTGTCAATTCTTTTGGGACTGAATAAGAAGAAAAATGAG